ATATATATATGTATATAAAATAGATTACACCCATTGTTACAATGTAGAGGGGCAAATGGAGTTCCTTATGGGCTTGACCCGGTCTTGGGATTTCAATCCAAAAGAAAAAACTTCCAACGTTGACCCCCTCAAATGAGGTATTTAGACGAAGATGCATCGGTGTACCATACATGGAGTGGAGACTACACGGAGCATATGGCTTAGGTTTTCCACACTACTCAGCATTGGATTGTTTTTCAGGAAACATTTGCAGGGTTTACCCGCCATGTTCGTAGGAAAAGCCATGGTTTCCCGAATATTTCCCTTCGGTCATGCAAAAAAAATGTCTCTTCCAGAAACACTGTTTAACGTTTTAGTATTGGATCTATGCATTCCAGAATTCGGAGGTATTTAACAATTTCAGAATGACTCAGACATATTCACACCATATTGGGCCCATGGGATTACCAGACAAACTATACTCTCCAGGCGTGTCTTGCTGCGCGACTGCTCACTGATCAGACCAGAAGGAGCCTTTTGCCAGAAGAAGTCACTCAGCGGGGCAATCAGAGAGAAGCCCAATCAGGATCCATTGGGTTAAAAAGATCCTGACCTTTACCATTTTGACACGTTTTTGTACAGGTTCAATGGACTGAACCAAGGGACAGAATGTATCAAAATGTTGAGGAAAGTTGGTTTTGTTTACCATGGCACATGCTGGTATCATATAGGATTCAAGCAACAGAAATGAAACTTACCGGAGCAATATAACATGTTTTCTTCCGAAAGTTTTCCCAACAAAACTGGTTTTGCAGGAGTTTATACATGTTATACATACCTCTAGTTTCATGGGGATTATGAACTTACATGCTACACATATAAGCCGATTTTCTTGGGATTTGTTATATTATACCCTCTGGTCATTTAGCATAGCTATTGGAAATTGGTCATTTATAGATGATTTACATTGATTCATATTGATTCACCTATTAAACATGGTGATTTTTCATAGCTATCTTAGTCTAGCAGAGGGTAACTCCCACGATCGCAGCCAAAATTCTCCATTGGTTGATGATGGGTTTTCACCCTTTTGCCATGATTTTCCAATAAAACAGCGATTTAAATTCCATAAAAATCGCTATAATATTGATTACCAGAGGGTAATTTCTTGTGTTAAGATAAGATGGGAATCCCGCTCTATCGAGGATTCGTCGTCGGCAGAATTTGGAGCTGCTCAGCTGTGAGGACCACTGCCGTGTCGATGCCTCTGGAGCCTTGACAAAAAAGTGCAGAAGGGGGGTATCGCGCATATAAAATCACATAGTCTATATATTCTATATGTAATTAATTGTAATAATAATAATATATATATATTATAAATAGATGCTGTATTTATCTTGGTTTCCGCCTTTGATTATTGTTGATTCGGTTGAGCTTGGGAATATAACAACAATTCTTGGAGCTTTCTTTGAATGCTCGTGGCCAGTCTGCTTTGTCCAATCAAACAAAGGATCGTGACCAGTGGGGTGACCAGAAAAGAGTTGCTTCTTTGCTTCGTCTTGTCGTTTGCGTTGTTTGTTGTTGCCTGCGGAGTGAGATTCGCAGCAAATAGCCGCATCGCCGTCGCCAACCACGGCAGTGTTCAACAGAATCTGATCGGTGAATCTCACACAATTGATTCTAAGCATGGCTTCCCCATGCTGAAAATATGCAAACCTCGTATTCCAGATACCTGTGCTGGAACTTACTCCGCAAGGCCAACGCATACCACCACTGTTTCGTAGACCATGGCAATTCATACTTTGTTGAGGTTTTTCGGAGGGAACACGTAACCGTGCATTATCACGATTTAACCATGCAGGGTATGATAGTGACTCCAGTAGCTCCAGCAGCAAGCTTTCTTTTTTCTCTCATGTTTGATGTCTGCTGGAAAAGTTGAACTTTAAAAGGCGGAGTCTTGTACATACGCAGTGAAGGTGATTTTCCTCCGAATCCGGCAAAGAGAATGTAAAAAAACACCACATTTATATATATATATATATTATAGATGGTTGATCTATGTTGATCTAATGGTCCTTGCAAATTGCGAAAGCCGTGCATGTTATGTTGGAAACCCTCACATTTTTTTCGAGTTTGCGAACGATTTTTTTTATTCGCGAAAGTTCGATATTATGAGCCATTATCATTGTATACATTACAGCTTGTTAAGGGCTACCACCTCCTGCCGCCCGGGGCCCGGGGTCTGGCAGGAGAATGGTACACCACATTTAGCTTTCCCTTCATAGGTAGCAGCCAAGCTTCCGAAGGTGAGGCTTTGCGAGAGCCAAACACAAAGGCCCCTGGTGTTTGCTGTTCCTCTGATGCGCCCCCCTGCTGATGGCTGGGGTCTGTGGATAGGGGTATTTTCGCGAAAGTTCCGTGAAAGTTTTGCGAAGGACTGGGCGAAAGTCAAAGCGCATTTTGAAGGGAGTGGCCCAGTAAGCCTTGCAAAAAAAATGCCTAATCAATAACAACCTGTTCTGAGAAGGGGATTCCGTGATGCTAGCTGCATGTTTACAAGGTTATGAAGAAGTTATGATAATTTGGTGTGATTTGGCAGGTGCTGAATGAATCTTCATAAGAGGAGTTGTTGCTCAACATTGGTTCCGCGAAAGATAAACATGGAGTTCGCGAAAGATACGCGAAAGATAGTTTTTTAGTCGCGAAGAATGGCTGTTCCCGGACAAAGGAATTTTGATCAGCTGCCTAATATACGTATATATATATATATTCACAAAAATAGCTAGGTAATATTTATGCATGTTGATCTATCCAGATTTCTAGATGGGCCTATTCTAATTTATTTTTACGTATTTCGGGGACGTATCTACAAGTTACAAATGGTCTAAGATTAGGTGTGCTGTTTTTGGCCAGCCATTAGATGGTGGTCTTGTAATTGGCAATGGGAATTTCATAATATCATCCAGAAAACATGCTGGTGATCAAACCACATATGATTGCGGCACTACAGGTGATAAAGATTCATACGGAAGTTTCACCAACAAAAGGGAATATTCCGAGCAACGCAGAAAATTCCTAACCAGGAAAGCGATATGTATCAATCATGGGTCATTGGCCCGTCCATAAAAAATCCATGACATTGCACACGCATGAAAATTCACCCAACAGATATGCGGAGATGTGAGAATGCATAGGGGTACAACCAACCCATACAGGGGAAACTCATCATTCATGGATGTCAATAATAAGGGATCTTTCAATTGCCAGGTGAAAGGGCCGGAAGGTAAGTAATTTTTGTCAACCACAGTTGATTGCTGATGGGTAAGCAAACAGAGTCATCTGAAAACGGAGGGTCGAACCAAGGGCGACATGGCAAGGGTATATTAAACTAAGAGGGGACAACCGGTTTGGTGGTCTGGTTTCTTTTGGATAGGTCATATTGGGGATGATTTTCTTTGGAAGGACTAGTTAAAACCACTCTATACTGCCATGTTCACATTTGCAACACGGCTACTTGACAATGACAGCATACGGTTGTGAGTCATTCTAGGCCTGCGGTAGTCACAGCCCGGACAACAAAACATTACAGTATTTGGTAGACAGTGTATGAGTAAATTCACTTGGCCATGGATCAAGACTCTGGTGCCCTTCTGTTCACACAGAAATAATGAAATAGATGTCTAATTATTCCCCAATATATAGAGTAAAATAATGTAAAATATAACATACATTATGTATATATATATATATATATACTGATACATTCCCAGTGGAAAACAACAAGTATTAACCCACATGTGATAAACCATGGGATTTGGGGATTCCAATGTCTTGAACCCAGTTTTTTTTCCGGGGCATCTTATGACACCCCCAAGGGTCACGACTGAACTTTGTGTGGCCAGTCGCAAATCCTTGACACAACGGACCCCAAGAACGAGCATTCCAATTTTTTAACATGAATTTCATCAATTTCCAATCTGGAGGATCCTCTTCCAATTTCAATTTTGATTTCTTCCATAAATGTAGGGTGTTTAATGTTTGGTTTCACCAGCGCAGCCGAGGCCGTGGGTCAATCAACGGCTCTCGCGTGGGACAATTGGAGCCTGGATAGTGACAGGGTCCAAAAAGTTGATGTCTTTATTTTGAAGTTAGTTTGGTGTAATTTCAGGTCAATTGTTTGAAATCAAACCAATGATGTTTTATCTTTGGTTGGTGAATTACGATTCAAGTCAGCTACGAGAACGGCCATAAAGGTTTGGGCGATGCTTACGTTTCTTAGTCATGTGTGTGTGTGTGTCTGTATTGTTTGTTTTACAATCGTATGTACGTACGTACTTACTGCATGCAATCTTTATGTATATATATATTTAAAAAATATATACAAACATATATAGTAAATGAATATGTGTGAGCAGACATGGTCTCCCCCTTGTTTTGCGTATTCCTTCTAAACAAAACTCTGCAGTTCCTCAAGAATGCCGTGAATCACAAGATTTTTGTCCTGTAAGAAGGTGCTATGCCCCTTTGCAAAATGCAATTTGCAAAGTTTTTTTTTTTTTTCAAAAGGCAGATTCCAAATGCGTATACATATGATTATATACATGCATATTTATACACAAATATACACATAATTGTTTATATACGTTGAATGCTGTACATACAGATATAGGCATTTACATATAGATACATAAATATTTTTCAATACAAACACATTGTACATTTACGTACGCATATACATATACATATAACATTATACATATACATATACATATACAGATACATATGCATATACATATACATATACATATACATATGCATATGCATATACATATACTTCTGAATTTACATTCACATATACATATACACATAAACTTAATGCATTTATGTATATATATATACATATATATACATATTGACATATAATGCATATACTATACATATGCTCCAAATATGCAGAAGGTCATTGGTTCCTCTCGTTACACCAAACCGAGGACAGAGAAGGATGTCACTACTTGCTGCCTATGGCGGTGAGTCAGCCCCTGGGGCCCTGGCTGGTTTTGTTCCGGCTGATTCGGTTGAGTTCCCCTTGGTGATGTGACCAAAGAATTGGGGATCTAACCAAAAAAAAATGATGGAACATGGGATTTAGGCATCAAAATCCTGAGAAATGATGGTTTTAAAAGCTGCGATAGGAATTTCACCATGAACACTATGATATGGTTTAATGGGGATTACATGTGATACAATGATCAATGAAACATGCACATCCAACAACATATTTGACAGAGTCTGAAAGTGGGTGCCAACACAATAATTTAAATAGGTAAAGTGATGATGCGTGGATTTAGGGGGACCCAATTTTCATACACCCAATTTTCCTCCACTTAGACTAATGGGTGTACTAACGACTTTTGATTCACGGGACGCACTTCATGTAAATATAGCAACTGGAAGGGTCACTTGAATATTTTTTTAAATGGGGAGCGAGCTGCCCAACAGAATCGTGGGTTTGACATCGTTTTTCACCATCCCCCATTTGTATTTATTTGTGAGCCTGTGAATAGTGGCCACTTGACCCATGGCTGATGCTTGTAAAATTTCAGTTACAGCCTGGGGGATCAGCCTCTACCCTCTTCTCCGAGTGAAGCTGCATGTTGACCCGGAAATCGTGCGTTTTAATTGGCAAGAGTCCCCAAGAAAAAACAGCATCGTGCGTAGATAGATTTAATTATCTAGGTCAACCGTACATGGGTAGAAACTAATCCCAATAATCTTTTGCGATTTCAATGGGAATATCCACGTTCACCAGCTAAAATTAGTAGATTGTTTGCCAGGTATCTAAGACTGGCAATGTTATCATAAACTTAAATGGCGAACGTCCTGATGGAGCAGAATCATGATGATACATATTTGTTGATGTAGATTTGACCTTCTAATTTTGATGTCCTTTGATATTCAATATTTGTATGTTCTTATTGGATGATCACTATGATGATACCAACATATACTTGATACGTGGTTAAATAATGTAATTCCCTATTTGGATAACGATACCATGTGATAATTTGATACATAGCTATGTACAAGCATCATGACCACAATATGCGAGTCATCTCCTTTCGTGGGTCATGGCTTTCCCATTTTTGGGTCAAGTCCCCATTAGTCAGCATAGCATCCCATCAAATCCTGTTAGACCACCGTGACGATCATTATTCAAATCCTTTATGTAAATCACCAAACAAGGATATACATGGGCGTCCGCAACGATGCAAGACATTGCTACAGGTCAAGCACCATTTTGCTGGTTTCTTCCAGTTAAACCACCATCAAATCCCACTAAACCACCATTAAACACCATAAAATGCCATTAAATCACCATCAAAAACCACCATTGAAACAGCATTTTCAATGCCACCAAATCGGGACATCGCTCCGAGGCCCGTCCCTGAGGGTCTTTTGGTGAATAGCTTGCACCTGAGCGCCACAGGAATGGATCAAGGCTGGGGAAACACAGGAGCTGCCGGAGCTGCGCAGCGGATGGGGAGATTGGGATGGGACCTGATCAGCTGGGATAGTGGTGAAGTAAGCGGTAATTTATAGTGGTAACCTTACCCAATAGTTGATCATAGCATCTGGTAATTTATAGTTTTTAATGTGTTTAAGTTGATTTAGCCACTCTAATTGATATGGAGGTTTCCTAAATGTGGGTACCCAATAGCTGGATGGTTTATAATATTTTATAATGTTTATAATGGAAAATCCCAGCTAGAAATGGATGATTTAGGGGTACCCCCCATTTTGGGACACCTCCATATGGTCCGGAATTACCTTTCAATTTATGTCTAGTTTGATCAGAAAAAAAGGCGATCACCCGCGAGAATCCGATGGGTTAAATGGTTAAACCCGCATTTTTCCCACAGAACATGGAGATTTATACAATCGTTTGCCCCCCGAAAACATGGCAAGTTGTTGAAAGGGAATGATGATCAATCCTTGTTTTTTTTATTCATTTTTTTCAAACAAACCCAGTGAAAAGTTGGTACAAAGCGTCCAACTTGAGTGATATATTCCCCATAAAGGACCGGGAACCCATCCATCTGCCGAGATTTTCAAACCACCTGACTTCTTTGATTTTTTTCCAGGTTCGATTCAGCCATTTTTTGTAGAAACTACACTCCCCAAAATTAATATTAACCCTGCCATTTATTGGCTGGAAGATTACTTTCATTCTCGTGTCTATTTTCAGGGTCCAACTGTTTATTTGGTGCAGGGCAATGATTTTTGAAGGTAGAAAACACATATGGCCCTATGGGGCCCCCATTGATGTTTGTTGCTTTAGGACCCCCAACTAGTTCGTGAAATATCCCCACAGAAACCCCTAACCGGCCACGCCTTGGCGTCGTGTATGGGATGTATGGTTGGTTGAACAAGCCCATAGTTTCGCTGCTTTAGATATTCGTGGTATCTCAAAATCCCATGAAAGTCCATGATATCCAAATCCTATGATTGAAATATGCATCAAATTTTCAATCCCAAAGGATACCAATTACCAATTTATCCCATAGAATATCCATCAATATCCCATGAAAATGAATTCCCTCCATATCAGTCTATCCCCATGAGATGCTTGGTTAAATCCGTTAACCTCCAGTAATCAAATATGGCTGAAAAATCCTCGGACTAAATAGATGTATGTGGGCAATGAACTGGGAAAATCATCGAACTAAATCGGGTATTTTTTCCGTTGCCATGTTTGATGTGTGATCAAAAAGACCTGGATTCATGTCGGAAAATACTTTATTTAATCAGGAAAATACTGAACATCAATAGGACTTAAAGATTTAATCCTGATCGCTTTGGGGTTAAATTTTGAACCTAGAAATTCCCAATTCCCCAGATTTTGTCCAGGGACATCCCGTCGTATCCATCGTATCCCCATCTCCACTCTATATATGGTATTTACATGTAATTATAAATCCAATCCACTATATCAAGTTTTCAATCAGATACATGTTATATAGATAGTATATGTTATATAGATAGTATATGTTATATATACTATAAATTTTATATCTAGATACATGTTATACCCATAGTATATCTACTGTGTGGTTAAATCCCCATGATAGTCCCTATAAAATGACCCAGCCATATCCCTGCTATAGCACCATTACGGGGAAGGGATTGTATCACTGGTTGGTGGTTCGGAACATGAATTTTATGAATTTCCATATATTGGTTATCCCAACTGACTAATAATCTAAGATTTTTCAGAGGGGTTGACACCACTGACACCACCAACCAGATCACCTTGTTTCATTTTATGGAGTGCATAGCTCTTATCATTTTAGACTTCTCCAAACCAGCTCCACTATGTTTAATTGCTTAAATGATTTGGTTAAATCACCATTACATCAACCATTGCATCAAGTAATAGTATCTAATAGTTTATTATCCACATATACATCTTCATATACATATTCTCCCCACATATATATATATATATGTATCACACACATATATATATTGTAACCATTATATATATATATACTGTAGCGTTAAATCTTCAGCCTAGGAGACAGTGGCCTCTTCGTCTACCTGCGTCGCGTCGAGGGGGGCCAGGTGGACGAACCGCTGCTAGGCATCACCTACGACCGGCGCCGCAGCCTCTCGCTTGAGCAGCTCGGCACCGGGGACGGCGGGGACACGTTGGGGACGGCAATGAGATGAAGCCGCAATGGAAAATCCACGATACCCTCTGGTAATTTGTCCCATAACTATAGAAAATCACCATTTTTCATGGGAAAATCCACTATTTCTATGGCCATTTTCAATAGCTATGTTAAATTACCAGAGGGTAAATGGAGGTTGAAATGGGACACTGATCTGTAAATCATGGATTTTTCCTCAAACAGATGAAATTACATGAATCTAGCCGAATTTAGCATGCATTTGTGAAGAACAACATGGGAGTTGACATGATTCGGCCAACAAAAAACTGGAATTTAAACATTGAACTCTCGGATTTCAGAGGCACAACATGAAATTTCATAATTAAAACCTCTAAACATATCAATTTTTCATGCAATTCCATCAAAAAATTACGGTGGATCAAACTCCGCCCGGCGAGGCACCGGGCCTCCTCTGAACTGCTGCGAGGCGAGGGATTGTATGGCACAACTAGAGCAATGGCATAACTATAGAGCTAGCAGTACAATATATCTGGGTAAATTGATTGTAAATTATGTATATGTATACTGTATGATGTATATACTGGGGTGATGTATATACTAAGGTAAAAAGTGATATCCTATTTTGTAAACAACAATGTGTATCATAGATGTGATGAAATCGGTATAATATATACCATATCATATTATATTTAGCTATTAGTGAAATATTATGATTCACCCCGTTCATATGGTTACAATGTGTAGTATATATATATGTGGTTTGCGGATTACAACTGTTAGACACCTAATTATGCCAATATTATTCCAATACGCCTATTGTTGGTAACCTCAACATCGAAATCGGAGGACCTTTTGCTCCGCAAGCTGGAGATCGTTTCCTGGTGCCCCGATGGGGCCTAAGGGCCACAGATCCAATACCAAACGGGGCGGGGGAAAGTATTCAATATGATTCTTAGGGCCACAGATCCAATACCAAGATTGGTAACTTAGGGGATGGGAATCCATGGGACTTCAAAAAGACCAGCCAGTTCGCACATTGCAGCCTATTTTTGGAGACCGGGATGATTTCATCATGGAGATGTGGGGCTTGCTTTGGGCAAAGATCTGTTCCCAGCCGATCAAGACAGCAGTTCGATGTACTTTGCAATCCAAGGTAAATTCCCCAGTTCACTTGGCAAAGCTATATCATAAACAGTAAAACTAAACCAATGATGGTTTATTATTGATACCCTAAGGTATACCCTCTTTTTGGGATGAAATACTGTAAAATGGCCGCAAAAAATGGGTTACTGGAATGGTTTGTGGGTGGATCACCAGGTACTGCTTCGATGTCCCAACTACCCGGCCTGGAGCGCCTACTGCAAGCGCTTGCAGCTGGCGGTCGATTGCCAAGAACAGGCCACGATCCTGGGAGGAATAGGGTATTCTCTCGCAACATTGGAATGAGAACAGAAGCTACCCTCTGGTAATTTAACATAGCTATTGAAAATCACAATTTTTAATGGGAAAATCCACTATAAATGGCCATTTTCAATAGCTATGTTAAATTACCAGAGGCTAAACAGGGCTCCTACCTGTATGGCCCCAAAGGAACCACAAGCGCTTCGACTCATGTGTTTTAAGTGTTTTTTGTGTGCTTATTTTCCCTCCTGTTTTGGGGGAGCAAAGAGCTTGAGACGTGCCCAAATTTACAACTTGGCTAGGAACATAGAAGTTCCATGGCGGTGGTTTATTTTAGAGACCGGACTGGCCCAAGAGTTGCGGGAGTTGTGTGAAACTGCGCTTAAAGATACGCAGATCAATATTTTTATGATTGGTTGGTTCATGAACCCCCCATCGATGAATGTTATTGGAGAAATTGGGGAATATATCCCCAATATTTTCCCATGATTGGTTGTTTACATCCCTAAGTTGGAGAGAAAATAGAGGATTTTTTTATATATTTTTTAAATATGTTTTCCCAATTTCTGTTTCGGATATCCCCAATTGATGTTTCTTCTCCAGGTCGAAGAGAAGTTACCCTGGTCCCTGACTGATCAATGGCGGGGAGAGCAGGAACGTGTATCTTGGCGGATGTCTGGTGGTGCCGCACGATATGTTTAAAAACATATCACCATCATATTCCAATTATATCCCCATTCTCTAGATTTGCTGAAGATGTGTTTTTTTTCTATTTGTTTCCCCAGATAGCTGGCAAGCAATAAGGGTTCTGACGTCTCATAGGTGGATTGTTCAGGGCGCGGCGACGTTTGCCGGCTTAGCGCAGTAGTCCAGCAGCATAGTCCAGCAGAAATACCCTCTGGTTATGACTAACATAGCCATGGTATAGATGGCCCATAGAAATAGATGATTTTCCCAGCTAGAAACCTCCACATTTATTTTGGGGATTTTCCATGGCTATGTTAAATAACCAGATGGTAAATAGACATAATAAAGTATACGGCACCGCGGCCCAGGCCTTCTTTAGACTGTGGGCCGCTTTGGCGGAAGATGAGACTCGGAAGTATTGATTTATTTTTTTCAATGAATATTTGGGGTTTCCTAAAATGGTGATACCCAAGCCGCCATTTCAGTTCCAATACTAAGTCATGGTCATCCATGACTTGGATTTTTTGGGGTGCCACTATGACTTAGGACACCTCCATTTCATGGTCGATTGGGATAATCATGGGATATCAGTGGGATTTCCACAGGGACAACATATCATAACTGTCATAACTCTGCGAAGAAAAACCGGAACAATGGTGACTCAACCAACAAAATGGTGGTACGTAAAATTTTTGGATACTATGAGGAGATGATGGGATCACAATCAGAAATTCTCACGACCTTACTGCGACATCATGGATCAACTCATGAAATGTTCGGGTAACCATCAAACATGAGATTTTCTGGAGTTGGTGAACTATTATATATGTGCTATCCAGACATGGTGGCCACATAATGAGGATATAATGGGGATATGATTACAAGTGGGATAATCCTAGTTGAGGAGTTACTATTGTAGGGAGCCACTATTCAGCAGGGAGTATCAGGGGAGATTTAGTGGGAGATAATGGCATGTTTTCTGGGGGTATAACAGGATATTAAAGGGGTTGAACTGTATAACCATGTAATAAACCATCATGCCATCCCAGTTTCAGCCATAAAAGGGATGGTCATGAGTCATAAGCATCATCTCTTGGCAGTAAAACCCAGCTTATCATCTCAGAAATGGATATGATTTTCCCCACGTTGTAGCAAACCCCAGAGAGATATAAACGTAAAATCCCACTAAAATCATCGGCACTAATACTGTTCTATCTTTTTTACAGTCCCTATAAATGATGGTGAATTTTCCATACTTTCCCTCGCTTTCCTCAGGAATACCTATCCTTGGATATGTCGCATCTTTCGCTGGCTGGGCAGCGACTGCAACACGTCTGGAAACCTCTGGGCAGCGACGCCAACTGCGGCGCGTCTTTACGGCCGGAGTTGCTTCCCCGTGACTTGGTTGAGGCAATCACCATCCACCAGCTATTCACCAGGGTACCGGGTATCAAAGTGATGCTTCAGACTGTGTTTGAAAGTGATCCTGTTACCCATGAAATCCCATGAACATATAGCCTCCGGATATTTAAGATAGCTATGGAACATATGGCCCATTTGGTTCGATGATTTAGCTATCAAAAGTATTCAAAAGTGATCCTCCTTGCATTTTCTTCTACAAAATCGCAACAGTTAAGCTTGGGAAGATGGTGCGTTTTAGGGCCCTCCTTTGTTTAAGGGTACATACCCAGTGTCAAGGTTTGCAATTTTATAGAGGACCTTGGTGTCAGCGATTCTATAGAGATTTCATGTTGAAAACAGGTTGACATTGAAAACCTGGAGTCCTGGAGCAACTGGAGTATTCAGGTCAGCTGTCAATGAATGAGACTTGGGGAATCTGATTTTATAGAAGGCCAACTAACCCCCCCAACCTAAAAAAGGCCTGATTGGAGAGTGACTTTGTGTCAGCTATTCTATAGAAAATGATGCTCATAAACAACCTCAATGACAGCAATTCTATAGAGATTGTCAACTTCAAAATACCCTGGCGTCTCTGATTCTATAGATGCATTTTCAAAAAGAGGGTCAACGTCTCCAGGTTTATCATTTATCACTATAAAATTGCTCACGCCAACACTTTCACTTAATTCACAAGGGGATCAAAAGTGATGATTTTCCATAGCTATGTTAAATTGCAGGAGGGTGATAAGGAAAGAATGGGGATGCACGGGGATATCTATGTATCCCGTGGTGATTTGTATCGCATGCATGCGTATCCATAGGGCACATCAAGTGGCTGGTGGTTTCGAACATGGTGATGGTTTGCTTTCTACTTGCGATGATAATTTGATTCTTAAAGATTTAAGAATTGGATGGCTCAACCAGCAACTAGATCACTTATTTTGAGGGAAGCTTTAGACTTGGGGATGATCCAAGAAGTTAGGACCTATGTGTAGTGACTGGCTAGTACTGGACCCGCTTATTACCATGATGAATTTCCAGGAGTATCGAAGCTCAAAATAGGACAATCCGAAAAAAGCACTTGGACTTCCAGAAGAGGACACCCCAATTCCCATTAATGAACACGTTTATTCAAATGTAGCAATTCCATCAGACAGAGCAATGATACATTATATATTTATTATTATGTATTTAATTCTATGCAACCCTTATTTTGAGACCCCATGCAGATTTTCCCCCAAAGAAAACATGTTCTTTTTTCCTGAGCGGGCCAAGGTTTGAAGTCGCTGCTCGCCTCAACGAAGCTGGTGCCGGCGCCGCGCGTCAAAGACGCGGCGGAGAAATTGCTGGCCAAGCTACAGCGCAACGAAACGGCCGTGGGTGCACCAGCACAGGCGCAGGAGCGGTGGGGATGGGATGGGATGGGATGGGACGGTGGTTTCAAAAGGTGGGCGTTTGCAAAGCTTTGTATTCAACAAGGCAACAAAAAGACACAAGAAATATACACAAAAGAGGCTTAAACTATTAAGTATAGGGGGTTCAAAGGGACAAACATTACGGGTTGAGGATCAAAAATATGGTAAACAATGGCATTGAAATGACAACAAATGGAGCATTTACCTGCAGAATAGGGTTTCATCCATCTAAAGTTGGGTTTAGCCAACAAAGATTGGACATAGTAGGCTATCCAAATATATCCTGAAATCATCAAAATTCCGATTTCCGCAATAATCACGGTGAAATCACGACTTCTTCATTGGGAAAAAGTCATGTTCCACTGACCGGTACAGGTCTGCCCGCTACGCAGAGCTTGCCTCGGTTGTACATCGCACCTTTGATGCCCTGGAGGGCGAGAACAAGGGCGAGTTGCTTGCGGCAGTGCTCCAGTCGCTATGGCTGAATCTGAATTGGTGGGTCAGAAGGATGGCGGTCATTTGGATGATTTTTTGGAAAAAAATGGAGATGTTTTTTTTGTGGCAAGATTTGAAAGAAAACTTAAAACTGTTGGGAAGATTTGGCGAATGCTTTTGGGCCAGGAATATGGATGTTTATTTTTAAGATTTGGGATGATTTTGGGAATGCCATGCCAGCATTAAATTAAAGACACCAGGATTCATCGTTCAGAAAGGCCACCTTTCAATCTTGGTAGTTCGTTAGTCAATTTAATCTTGTTTCATCACAGTGGTGTCCACCTTTCAAGAAAATGATGACTGATCCAGTGGATGCTCATCCCCAAATCTTCGAGTCATCGAAACCGAGACGCCGAGGCAGTACGCGGACTGTGTGGAGGATTGTCCCTTGGGTATGTATCAATTCGAAAACAGGGATTTGTTGCACAAATTGCACTTCAACCAAGGTTACTTATATATAATATATATATATATATTTTATATAGTTATATGATATTGGGTATATCTATAAGCCAAGTGGAATTTATCCTAGGTTGATATGTATAAACCAGGGTTATCTTAGGCAAGTTGTTTATATCTAAGACTTGGAGTTACGATGGGTATATTTGCAGTTGGATGGGAGGTGAGGTTTGCTAGCTGATTAACTTCGAGAAACTATATGAGCATGCTGTCATTTGGATCTAGAATCTAGAAGATTCGAAACTGATAGATTTTTGTTTGTTTGTTTGTTTGTCAGTTTGAATTGTGCCATGTTGCAAGACTTCATGCCGAAACTATGTTTGATGTTTTATCAATTGTACGTATTCATTGTTCCATGTTAGACCTAGTGATCTTTAATTCTCCCAGTCATTTGTTTTAGAAGGTTTGAACCTCTAGTGTATAATTCGCCTCACTGTGAGTCTTATTATGTCTTATGAACAAAGATAGACTGTAGAGAGAGCAAACATTCTCCGAAACTTAGTGTATAGCGCTCCCTTGAAGAGCTGTCGTTTACCTGAAAACGGCACTGGGCCCTAGGCATCTATCGCTGGGAAAGAGAGATTCACAATATGCACGACCTTGTACCTTGGACATCCTGGAGGTTTCTCCCATCCTAAACGAGGCATGAAAGTTATACCCTGGTTGATTAATGATTATATAATTATCAATAGCTATACTATCCTATACTAGCTAACCCATAGTAGAGAAACCTATAAACCAACTGGTATGAGATGGGATGGGTATTTTTCATGGCTCAAGGCTCAGATGGTATGCGAAACATATTGATGGCATGGGTATATATATATAGTGGATATCAATAGTGAGATACCACAGCATTCGTACTGTATATGACATGTATAATAGATAGATATGTAATGATATGTATATATATATATACACATTATGAATATACATAATACATATAATTATAATTATATATATATATATTTACCGGTGGTGTATACATATATGCATAGACACCCATACATATGTGATTTTAGCAAACCACTGGATGCATGTAGAATGATAACTAGAAAAAAAGATCAATGATTGAGTGGACATGACAGCAGGCTGGTGTGGGGTCATTTGATTTTGGTTGTGATTTAGGGTTCGACCTTTATCAGATGAGCAAAGGGTAAACCATGCGAAAGTGTGATGCCCTTGCGACAATCCCAAAAAAGAGGAGAAGAGACCAATTGATCCATCGCTACAACCCCCTACCTTTGCCCGTTGTCTGCATATCCTTTGAAATACTCAAATCCCTGTGTAGGGCTAACATTTTTTCAACAACAAACCCTAAATCTCTAAATCCCTAAATCCTAGAACCTTAAATCCTGAAAGCCTAGAGTCAAGATTGCTGTATATAATAGCCGGTGTTTTCGTTCCTGGAGCACATATATAAATATACATATACAGTATATATATATACATACACATACATAAATGAGATATGATGAGCATGGGCGAAGATGGGGTTTGGGGGAACATGTAAAAACCTGATACCTTTGTTATAAATCCACAAAAGAGGAGAACCGATTATTTCATGGTAATGGGGAGTGTTTCATGACATTGACTAGTAGCCATCTTTGACCATTTACCAGCCACCTTCCAAGGGTTAGATGCTCACTTTTTCTGGGATCACGATGTTACCTTGATAGATGCCAGTTCAGTTCAGCAGTTTATATATATATATATCGTCGTTTTGGTAAAGGACATATATATATATATGTACACATTCGTTTGTTTTGTAGGGTATCTAAGATAAATACCAGAATTGGTTCAATGAAAAATTGTCAGGAAACCATCATATACTTGATATACTTGATGGAAACAATGGAAACACATGTTTGTTGTATATTTTACCTTCAACGAATGCATTGAATCAACCATCTGGCTTTATAACGACCTCACTACATCGTCATTGAACATGTGGTTAGCAGTGAAACATCCATTTTATCAGGTTGGTGAATTATTTGTAATTCAGCCAGATTGAATCAACCATAGAATTTCAGCAGTTTCAAGCACTCTAATTGGTTGATGATTTTGTCTGGACAATACTGGTTGTAGACCCTCAACTTGGCGATGATCATGAATCATAGTCCACTATGCAAATCCTTCCTCATTCATGGCCTCCTTTCTTTCAACTTGGTGAAGTATTTGAAAATAGATTGAACTGACACCGGACCAATCATCATAAAATTGTTGGCAAAATCTTCATTTAGGTTTAATTCGGATTTGTATGGATTAATTCATGTAAATTCAAAGTGCGGCCCACTGTGGCAGCCAGCCAGCCAAGCCACAGTTGCAGCCAGCCAGCAAGCCACAGCGGCAGCCAGCCAGCCAGCCGGCCGATCAAGAGCTAAGCTAAGCAACCAGACAGCCAGCCGGCCGGCCAGCCAAAAACCAAGCCCAGCCCGGCGATCCTGCAGCGAGGCAGCCAGATACCACGCCCCAGAGACCGCAGCGAAGCAAAGAGCCAGCCACTAGCCAGGCAGCCAGTAGTAGCCACCCGGCCAGCCGGCAACGTACCGACTGTTCTTTGCGCAAGTCAGCCTTTAGTTGCACAGTGTGGTGCACATCTCAGCGTCTGCGCGCACTAGCGTGTTTCTACAGCAGGAATATCCTTGGGTTTTGCGTCGTCGGAAAAATATAATGGCTATCATGTTGGGAAAAGCCTGTCACAGGCAACGAAGATTCCTTTCCGACGCGAAACGATTACCAGATAGTAACCGGCCGTGTCGGGATGCAAGTTGTCCAGCGTTTAGTTCGATGATTTCACTATAAAATGGGTGATTTTCTACAGCTACGCCCCGATTTATAGATGGAATTTCTCTGCCAATTTCCATGTTTGATATAGCTATTGGAAGATCACCATAGCATATATGGTAAATCTATGGTAAATTTGGTAAAAAACCACGTGTTATTTTTGGCGATGATACCGAGTTATACCCCCCCACCCAGGTCACCGGTGAGACCAGCGGTGAAGGAGCACTTGATGCGGAGGTGCGTCAAACGGGGGGTAATTTTGAGGGGCCACCATGGGCCACCGATGGGTTGAAGAAACCTAAAAAACGGGGCATTCAACTAAAAATGATGTTTTTCATAAGATGGCACTGTCAAACATGGACATTTAATCAGAAAAAACGCTGTTAGAAATGGGACTTAATTGGATTCAACCATCAAACGTGGGGAAATAATGGTTTAAACATCAAAAACTGGGATTTAATCAATGCCTTGTCTTTGTCAATAGTTTGATGGGGATAATATGTGGATCTGATGGGATACCGTATTCCCTTCCTCCAAATAACATTGAGCGCCAAATTTTGGGGTTGCAAGGCTATCTTCCTGGAATGAGCCATAATTAGCTAGGAGGGAGCTGGAGCGGAGGTGTATCCAGATTCCCCATGAGCTACGACTGGAGTTCCTAACTGCATGATACACGCGGCTGGGTAAACATTGAAAGCTATGGAAATCAGCATGTTTCATAGGTAAATCAACAATAAATGGGTATTTTTTCAATAGCTATGTTAGTTTACTGGAGGATAAACCAGAAATAATTTTACTAACCATTGTAATTCTAAGCAATATATTTTGGATGAATTTGGAGTGTTATCGTAAGATGTCTGACAACATAAACCAACATATGGCCATACGTGCCTTGGAGATTCATAAGTGGATTTGCCGGAGTAGCCCTGGAAAGCAGACCTCATTGCACCTTTTGTTGAGATAGTTGGGTACTTGAGAACTTGAGGGAGTTTCGTGATGGACTTGAGTGGCTCTTATCCAGTCTAGTTGCTTGTACAAGACCATCGCTATTCTTGCCGACCCAAAGCCATGTTTCGGGTCAACCCAACAATAAATCATGCCCAATATCACCATAAATATCCATAAATGGGTTGTATAAACCATCCCCCAAATGCTATGTTCACAGCATCTTAATCTCTGGCTATGTCGCATCAGCCGTCCACGTCGATTCGTCGATGCCGAGTCAGGACGAAGTCTTGCGGGTGCTTTATCGGAAGCGGCGGCAGATGGCCGAAAGCGTTCTCCATCACAGCAAGGTGAGATCTCCGGGACGGTGGCACAGCTCACAACCTGGGTCAATCGAAAATGGACGTTGAATACCCTCTGGTAAACGTTTACACAACTATGGAAAATCACCATTTTTAATGGGAAAATCCACTATTAATGGTCATTTTCAATAGCTATGTTAAATTACCAGAGGGTATGTTGAGCAACAAATGGCCAAACAGAGAAGAGTTCAAACAGACCATATGGGACTGAAAGGTTGGGTTTAGACGGCATATGAAGCATGAAAGTTATTGGTAAACCACAAGTTGAATGGCCGAAAGGCTGTTATATTGGTTTGTTGTAGATTCATCTTGCGGCTGTTATATTGTCTCATTCAAGATGTTTTCTGTTGGCTTGTTAAGAGCACCGGGGTATGAGTGTCAATTGACCTACAAACCATCCAAACCAGGCTTCATTCTATTGAGTGTTGTACTTCTTGTGCATTCGTATTGAATGTAAGTTTTCCAGACTACAGTAATTGCAACACATCAACTATGGTAAATCAAACTATGGTTCCACTGTTCCAATGTTTCGGCGACCACATCTCTGCATCCAGGGAGCCAATGAAACGGCGGACATGCACTTTGAGAGTCACTTCTACGCGAGTTCCTGGGGAGCAAAAGGGGTCGGGTGGTTGGCATGTCCGGAACTTGGGAGCAACATCCACGTTACAATTCTTAATTTTGCTGGTGAACCGCCAGTAACTGCAAGCAACATTCTGTATCCATTCTTGTGAGTCAAATTCAATATTTTGATTTTGTGGTTGGTGAAGCCCATTTTTCAGAAGTCTAATAAGTCCATCGTTTTATTTTGATCAATAAACATTACATTGCCCTCTGGTAATTTAACATAGCGAACTGGCAAATCACCATCTTTCAGTAGTAATTCATGGTAAATCATGGCAAATCATCTAAACAAAACTCTAGAAAACACCTATGGCCATTTCCCATTGCCATAGCGATTTGAAATTTCCAGCGGATACCTATTTTGGCAATCCCATCCCTCATCCTATGATCCCCAATTAATTTGGTTAACCATCATGGTTCATCCCCTTTTTAAATCATGGTTTCTAATTGGGGTATCTAAATTTCGGGGGATGGGATTAATGATTAGTATATAGTCTATAATATAGTTGGTTTATTACAAACCAGTATATAAGATGACTTGAAAATCCCATGAGTATCTCATTGCCCACTGATAATGAAACATGGCCATGGAGAATCACCACTTTTAATAGGTAAATCATTCGCAAATGTGCAATTTTCCATGAAATCCCATCAAAATCGTATCAAAAATCCAATGACTATTCCATTAGATTCGATAAACATCCGAAAAAAAACATGCTCCATTTTTCCCATGAAATCCTCCATGGAACGAGCAGCGGATTTTCAGGTCTCCACTTCGGCCTGGCCGAGCAGCTCACCGCGCGCCGCGATCCGCATCGCCTGACCTATCTGCAGCTGGAGAGTCGCGTGAGGCGGGCAGACCTGGCAGGGCATGGGAAAAGAAACGGGGGAGGTCCAACTTACCCCCAAATTTGGTATGATTTGATCAACATATGTCAAAATGACCATGGATCTCTGTTTCCTTGAGCTTTAAATTAGATCTCACTCAAATTTGGATTTGTCTGAGAATGTACCCCAAAAGCCTGGCTCGTGCATCCCAGACATTCCAGTATTGGTTTGGGGAATGGTTGGAACTGAACCTTAAATGCCGAGAGGGCGGACCAAGATATTCCAGAAAGCTGGACCAAGCAGTGCTGGAAAGGTCAATGTCATCTATAGATGCTGGCAACAGCTTCACTGAACAAAATCGTATACTGTAATTAATCCCATATATAAGTTTTCTTTTGGACAACAACGCATGAGACGTATAGACGTGCTGAAGAATCACCCAACAACATTGCCCCAGAGAGGCCCAGGGGTCGGTGGTCCTGACCTGGGTATTGCAGGCCTGATGCTCTTCAAGCCAAGCTCTTCAAGGAAGCAGTGGTGGTAAGCTAAACTCCAACCACTGATGGGCATCCTTTGGGCGTTTGGGGTTTGGCATGGACCCACACAAAACAAGGCACCATCCACGATCCATCTCACGCGTGGACTTCGGTAACGGTTCATGCCATGGCGGTGCGCATGTGGCACATGGACATGATAAGTGATTGCCAAAGTGCTGCCAGACGGCCAGGACAATTTGTGTACGAAAGGGTTGCAAACTTTCAGCGTATCCAACACTTGAGCGAGAACTCAGTGAAGCCATAGAACTTTGCTGGCTGCAAGCACAAACAAACTGGTGCACTGATCCACTGAAATGATGGTCAAAACCTTGTAGTGTCAGAATGTGGGCATGGCGCCCGTCATGTCTGAATCCAAACCGCAGAACCACTAACAGATTGAAGACGCAAGGACGTGACGTAAGCAGTGGAAAATGCTCTCCCGCAAAGTTCCTCAAAACAGGACCAGCTTGCATGCAGTAAGGGCCAGGCTCCGGCTCTCGTGACGTATTCAACTCCAAACTTGTTCGGCACAAATAGCATTCCAGGTGAAGGTCCAGTCTAGTGGCTGTACGGTGCCAGCTGTACCAGGCATGGAGTTTGAACAAGCTGCTCCGAGGGGTTTGTGTTCTACAAAGACCGTCGCAGGAACAGACTCAAGCAGCAAAGCATTGCATAACGTTGCAGACAAAAAGGTGAAAGTGCTCTGAGCACAACTTGTCATTATATGATGCAGCTGCTGCGTCCAAACGAAAAGGCTAACGCCATCCTGATGGCAGAAGGCATCGAAGAAGTTCACGCCATGATTGAACCGACCCTCAACCTTCTGCTGAACAGCTCTACCACTGGTAGGAGTTGAGCCGAAAGCTCTACGATCCATCTCAAAAATATATAAGTGTGAACAAAGTGAATGCTCTGAACTAGCAGTGTACGGTGGCGTGACGAACATTTTGCTAGCACAAAGCCAGTGGTATTCTTGGGTTTCGTTGTGATTCCATGGCTGCCCAAAGGAGATAGACATCATAAACTGATGCATTCTATGTACCCCAAGGTTGTGCTCATGGATTTCCCAAGATAAGAAATCAATAGAAATCATATATGCCATGGTCAAAGGTTGGATTTGTATATGATTCTATCTATAGCGCATTAGCCATAGGGGATGGTCATGGCTTCCATTTTCACTAATCCAACTTTCAATGGCGCAAAGGTCCAGCCAGGCGAGGGGCTGGTACTGTACCAATGCAAACCCTCTGGTAAACCTACAAAAATATGGAAAACACAACCTTTTATAGGTAAAACAACTATTCAATGTGCCCTTTTCAATAGCGAACCGTCAAATTACCAGAGGGTATCAGGCACCATGCATAAGAAATTTCATTTTTGGCACCAAACATCGCAACGGCAGTGATGAAGACCGACTCACAGTTTCCAACAGGCCGCTTATAGACATTTCTAGCTGTAAATGAGAACAAAAAACACACGGTTTTTATTAGTGTTCATAGTCTGCTAAACATGACCTGTTTTTTTCTATCTGAGGGAAATCCAAACTTCCTTAAGACTGGGTAAACCGTGGTTGAGCGTGTTTTCTTGGCAGAGTTTGTTTCACTTGAAGAGATGAGCTGTGGAGCTGCTTTATTTGTCGAGTGTTAGTTTTTGCCATTAACATATCCGGTTGAAAGTATACTATCGAGCTTAATAGGTTCGATGTTCTTTTGCACCGTTGGTGGTGCCCCAGCTATGTTTCCTCGAACTTCGAAGATCAACTAGTTATAACGAATTCGATGAATATCTATCATCAGCCCTAGTTGACTTATAGGTATACTGTAAATACACCATCATATGTACCATGGTTAATGATGGTGTACCTGGTTGATAACAATGGATCATGGATCAACAAGCCATTGATGGACTATTATCGATCATTATCCATCATTGACCATCAATCACCATCATTAATCATATAATCATGGTAAATATGATGGTATATTTATACCTATAAGTCAACTAGGGCTGATGATTCTGATGATAGATATCCATCATTAACCATCATTCACCATCATTAATGATTATCCAATATTGCCAATAATACCTTAGTCATTTGCAGGGCCACCACCTTAGTCGGGTATCTTGAGGACTACGTGCCAGCGCGGCTACGGCAGACCATCCGAGAGGAGGTCTTTGAGAGCCAAAGCTCAGGTGGGCTTGAAACTGTCCAGGTGCTTAAACAAAAATGACTTTTTAGCAGTGATATATATACTGTATATATATACATAATACATAATACATATATAATCATATATATATATATATGTAATATTGAGAATGTTAGTATGTATTAACTAAAATAATATGATAATATAGAACATTTTTTTCTACTATTTAATACTATAGTATGTTAAATTATATTTTATTTTGCTCTATTATGGTTTTTCTTTCTTATATTTTATTATACTATATTATATTATATTCTTTTTTATTGCATTATATGTTATTATTTGCTTTACTATTATATAATATTCTATAATATTATATTAAATTATATTATATTTTTTTAATATTATATTTGACTATATTGTAGTTTATCATCATATCATATTATTTTTTAAATGCTATATTGTAGTTTATCATTATATTATGTTAAAATTTGCTATGCTATCGTGTGGTTTATCATTTTATAATATTATACCATACTATATGGTATTATATTATATTATGTAATACTATAATATTATATTTTGTTATGCTATATTTTATTATGCTTCATTATGTTATATTTTATTATGTTATATTATATTTTGTTATATTATATTATTTGACATAATATTATATCATCTTATTTTATGTTACATTAGATTATATTATATGAATATCATATAATACTTTACCGTCAGGACTAATACATATATGTCGATCTCAGGTCAATAATATCAATAATAGGGGGACAAATGTTAACAATGATTTATTATGTGATTACTGTATATTTTGCCCCCTCCCCAATTTATAGTCAGAGTTCATGAATTGACGTAGTGCGATTTCCCATGTTTTCTTCATGTTGCTTCTCTCGCAACTAAAAGAACAGAATCGGGGGTTTGTCCGAATCTCTAGCAGGTTATTTTCCCTATTCCTTTTCTTGTTCTTCAATTGGATCAATTTGGGTGATGTACCTTCCAAATCCGACAGTTCCCTTTGCAGGCACCCAAGCACTACGAGAGAAGATTACCAATTGGCGCCTCGGCGTCACAAACCGACCCAGATGGTCTTGGGTGAAGAAGTGTTTTCCCACAATCCCCGAAATTTCAAGAATTATTAAGGAATAGATGGCAAGCAGGAGGGTAAGTACGTCATTTTCAGATAGTCCCCTCATGTTGATGGTTGTATATCCCCATTGCATGCCCATTGTATGCATTTATATTCCATAGCCCGCATGCTGTTTTTGCCACCAGAACGTTGGGGTTTAAATCCCTCAAGGCAGCATGTGTAGAATATGGTCTCACCGCATTTTTTGTAGCTGAAGTATATTATATATATTATGCTGCTGAATTGTATACCCACATATACCATCATATACCCACATATTTTTTGCTCTTCAAATCTTCCGTTTCTTGGGAAACCCAGGTAGGTTGTTTCCTTTCTAGTTACTTGTTACCCTACTCTTAACTAAGATGGTAATTCCATCATTTATGTCCGATTTCCTAAACCATGGTTCTTTCCATATCAGTTTGTTTCCAGCAGGGTAAATCTCCATAGCAGTGGGACCCATGGTGCCAGCATCGCAGGTTCTCTGCCAATATCCCTGTTGGCTTTCGCGCCAACGACACGGTGGAGCAGCGTCGCGAGGCTTTCCTCTATCAGTTCTGTCTCTTGGCGAGTGCTGCTCGAGTGGGTCCAGTGGATGTTGGAAAAGGGGATGACGGAGCTGAGGGTTGATGTTGAAAACGATGATTTCTTGCTGAATGCTTTATCAGTATCATTCATGGAAATTTGTCGTTGCTTACCATTGATCTTGACGGGAATGATGAAGGTCATGGTGGGCATCACGGAATGCAACGTGGATAGTCATCCAAGCTCCGAGGTGGTATGATCGGTATAACCCCGACCAAAGATTGCACTGTGCTGTATACAAGAGTAAAGGGTAAGGCAGTCCCGTAAGGGAGCCGACTCTTTTTGCCACTGTCCTGGCCTAGCTTAGTCAATTATTCAACTTGAAAGAATGGTGGTTTGCCTGCAATACTTGGGCATACTTGGCTATTTTCATCTAATTTTTTGCATCGAAAATGCTGCAGAGGTGGAGTCAGTAGGCTCAATAGGCCCGGTCCCAGGCTATGATGAAGAGTATCGAATTACTGACGAAGCGTTGTTACTCGGATGCGCCTGCGAAGCGTTGGGATAGGTCACACTATGGGATTCCCCTTGGTCATCTGAGGTGACACTGAGGTGAAAACACCGAAGTTTTGCGGGGAAGTGAATGACCAAAGTGGGGGGATTGATGGGGGATTGTCACAAATTGTTGATACCCTCTGGTGAACTAACATAACTATGGAAAATCACCATTTTCAATGGGTAAATCCACTATTTCTATGGCCATTTTCGATAGCTATCTTAAATTACCAGAGGGTAGGTTTGATGACCAGAGGGTATGATACAATAAGAAACCGGTGGAACCAGTGGAATGACCTCGATTTGAAACCCAGGTGGGGATGGCCGAATGGAAAAATGAGCTTGGCGGTTTCAAGTTGTAGACTTCAACATACTGTAGTTTTATGATGTTGTATTGTTTTCTGTAATATATATATATATGTATAATTTATATGTGTATATCTATATATATATATATATCTATCATTGTCCTTTTTGGGAATGGGTTGAATCCAGGAACCAGAACGGTTTACCCCCAACAAAAAGAGCAAAACTCCATGGTACTCCTCAGTCAGTGTGGGGATAAATTCGAGCACTGCTAGTGCGAGTGATATGGGAATGGTTCAAGACTACAGGACCCGAAGTTCTACACCCTCTGGCAATCAAACATACGTAGTGAAATCCCCTACAAAGCTGGGAAAAACACGCGTACATATGTATACATGATACATGATTATAGTTGGATTTTTCCAGCAAACCATGTTTGATTGGTGGAGGGTAAATGACACTCCCAAATACACCCAAAAACAATCTCTGGCCGTTTCTGGCCACATTTCTTTGGTCACAAGGACTCACCAGGGTCCCAGAGTTTTTCCGGGTGATCCATGCCATTCCATGCCACAATCTGTTGCTTCAGCATCGGCTCAAGGAACTACATGTTGTGCTGCATGCACATCCTCACTGCACGTTCCCTGATCTTGCAGGCGGACCTGGAGCTGGAGCGATGAACCAAGACCCCGAAAGAAAAGCATCCGAAAGCCTGATATCTTGGATCTATTCAATTTGAGGTCTACACTTAAGAGTCTTAAGAGTTAATTTCACACTTGTTTCCTGCTTATGGTTAGGTAAATGGGCTTGCTTGGGCATCATTATGATGTCCGCTTGCAACATGTTTGGGATGTGCAAATCCGAGATGATGCTAGATTAATGTGGTAGTTTGGTGCACACACACACACACACGCACTCACACTTGGGCACTCTACAGATTTCGCTGGTTGGTGATTCAAATGCAGGTTGTTCTTTACCAAACTGAGTTCCCAATACTCAAGGCATGAGGAAACTTTCAGAGCGTTCAAGGGTCACTTAAAACCCATGGCCCAATAATGGCTTATGTAGATTTTTATTATTTAATCTATTCACATAGTAATACAGTATATAATTGCAATATCATGGTTTATTAATATATAGTCATAGTGTACCAGTAGTACCCGCACGAGGCGGGGCGGAAGTTGCCTTAGGGATATACTATAAGACCTGTCTCATCTATAGAACTTGCATGCGCCGTGCGCCAGCCAGGCCCGTGCGTGCGTGCATTCTGCGAAAGTTGTGTCCTGTTTCACATGTCACATTTGAAGCTCCACTTCGCACTTCACACTTCTCACTGCACTCTTCACACTCAAAACTTCACACTTCACACTCCACGCTTCACACTTCACACTGCACTCTTCGCACTCCACACTTCACTTCACACTGCACTCCTAAGACTCCACACTTCACACTGCACACTCCACACTTCACACTTCTCACTGCTTTCTTCACACTTCACACTTCTCACTGCTTTCTTCACACTCCACACTTCACACTTCACACTCCACACTTCAGACTTCACTCTTCACACTGCACTCTTTATGCCCCACACTTCACACTGCACTCTTCACACTCCACACTTCACACTTCATCTCATCTGAGCTCTTCTCACCTTATCCCAGCTCATCTCTTCTAATCTCATCTCTTCTCATATGTCATCTAAGCTTTCATGAATCACTTCCCAGTACTACTTCGAGAACTTGCATGCGCCGTGCGCCAGCCAGGCCCGTGCGTGCGTGCTTTGTGCGAAGCTGTTGCGCAGATGTTGTCCAAGAACATGACCTCACGCTTCAAACTGCACTCTTCACAGTTCACACTTGCACTTCACACTTGCACTTCGCACTCGACACTTCATCTCATCTCAAATCATGTGAGCTCTTCTCATCTCAGCTCTTCTCATCTCATCCCATCTCTTCTCACATGTAATCTACAGTAAGTAAGTTCTTCTCAACTGTTTTCATCTCATCCGAGCACTGATCAACCTTTCTCATCTCCTTGAAGTTCGTCTCAACTCATCTTAGCTGTTCTGCACGCCAGAAAGCTCTTACTGCCAGAGAGAAGTCTCTTGCACAAAAAACAATTGGGCGCAGAAAGTTTTTGCACACAGACATTTGGGACAAAGATGCATTTACATACAAAAGCCTTTCCGAAATACTTTGTGCTACAACGCTTGCACAAAGCACTTCCCAGTACTACTTTGTACTACAAAGCGTGCACAAAGCGCGTTCCAGTACTACTTTGTACTACAAAGCTTGCACAAAGCACTTCCCAGTACTACTTTGTACTGCAAAGCTTGCACAAAGCACTTCACAGTACTACTTTGTACTACAAAGCTTGCCCAAACCACTTCCCAGCAATTCTTTGTACTACACACAGCTTGCACCCAGTACTACTTTGTACTACACAGCTTGCACAAAGCACGTTCCAGTACTACTTTGTACTGCAAAGCTTGCACAAAGCACGTTCCAGTACTACTTTGTACTGCAAAGCTTGCACAAAGCACTTCCCAGTACTACTTTGTACTACAGAGCTTGCCAAAAGTACTTCTCAGTACTACTTTGTACTACGAAGCTTGCGCGAAGCACTTCCCAGTACTACTTTGTACTACAAAGCTTGCACAAAGCACTTCCCAGTACTACTTTGTACTGCAAAGCTTGCACAAAGCACTTCCCAGTACTACTTTGTACTATAACGCTTGCACAAAGCACGTTCCAGTACTACTTTGTACTGCAAAGCTTGCACAAAGCACGTTCCAGTACTACTTTGTACTACAAAGCTTGCACAAAGCACTTCCCAGTACTACTTTGTACTACAACGCTTGCACAAAGCGTTTTCCAGTACTACTTTGTGATACAAAGTTGGCACCAAGAAAGCTTTTACACACAGATACACACAGCAAGTTCTTTCGCAGAGAAGCTTTTACTTACAGACAGCAAGCTTTTTAAACAGAGAAGCTTTTACACACAGAAGCTTTTACACACAGCAAGCTTTTACACACAAAATCTTTTACACACAACCAGCTTTCATACACATGGCAAGCGTTTACACACACAGAACACTTATACACAGTGCTTTTACACATGGCAAGCGTTTACACACACAGAAACTTTTACACGGAGACGCTTCTACACACAGAGAAGCTTTTACACACAGCAAGCTTTTACACAAAATCTTTTACACACAGCAAGCTTTTACAGAAAAATAATTTACACAGAGAAGCTTTCTTGTACATAGTCACAACAGGAATTGCAGCTCCAAAACCGGATCTCGACGCCGAAGCGAAAAAAAAGTTTTTGAAACACTTTTTAAAAGGAATTGTAAAAGGAAAATTACTAGCGCCAAAATTGAAAAAATCTGCTGACAAATCACTGTCGCAGCCTTGATGCCGCCATTCCAATACGATTTACAATGCCCAGCTGCAAAAGCAATAGTAACTATAGTATTACGCATGCAGCCGCGGCACCAAGCAACCTTGATGCAGCCATCACAATGCGTTTTGCAGCATTACGTCGCTAACCCGCATGCATCTACGCACATGGCCACACCAGATGACAAGAATCATGCAGCCATTCCAATGCGATCTGCAACCACAGATTCAAGAAACGCATAGAAACGCATAGAAACGCATAGAACTACGCATAGAACTACGCACACAGGAACAACCATTCTTTGCAGAACACAGAGGAGGAACCAATTGACCTCGAAACGATCCAAACCGCAACCGCCGCACACACACGAGGTACCTTTCATCGCCGGCTGCAACCACTTTACACGGAAAAATGCAAGGTTTCGTGCTCCGGCTTCCTTCCCAAAACAAAGCCCATGCAATATTCATGCAGCCATTACAATGCATTTTGCAGCTCGATGTATTGTTATGTAGTGTAAAGTCGCACACCACCCTTCATCAAGGTCTATTCTTTTGTAATGTATTGTTATGTAGTGTAAAGTCGCACACCACCCTTCATCAAGGTCTATTCTTTTGTGATGTACTGTTATGTAGTTATGTAGTGTAGAGTCGGACACCACCCTTCATCAAGGTCTATTCTTTTGTGATGTATTGTTATGTAGTGTACAGTCGCACACCACCCTTCATCAAGGTCTATTCTTTTGTGATGTATTGTTATGTAGTGTAAAGTCGCACACCACCCTTCATCAAGGTCTATTCTTTTGTGATGTAGTGTTATGTGTAGTGTAAAGTCGCACACCACCCTTCATCAAGGTCTATTCTTTTGTGATGTACTGTTATGTAGTTATGTAGTGTAGAGTCGGACACCACCCTTCATCAAGGTCTATTCTTTTGTGATGTATTGTTATGTAGTGTAAAGTCGCACGCCACCCTTCATCAAGGTCTATTCTTTTGTGATGTATTGTTATTTAGTGTAAACGCGCACACCACCCTTCATCAGGTAAAAATCATCCGTAACCCGGAAGTATTGCTTCCCAACTTCCTTTCATTATTTTGTATTATCATATATTGTCGTAAGTCAAACTTGATTGGGAAGTTGAACATGGGATAAAATGGTTTCAATCTCCATAAGAAACTGGTGGAGGATGATTCCTCTTGTTACCTTCAGATCAGGGGATGACTTAAAAAAATGACCACAATTTGGATGTTTTATGATGTTTTCCATCGGCTAAAATCTTGACATATTTGGAACCGTTCCCAATGTTGCGTTGCACATCGTTGCACCAAAATGAGGTTACCCCATGCCATCATGCCATCAACCATGGTTTGAAAAACGTATTTTTTTTAAATATTTTTCTCATATTTTCTCCACGAAACACTTCACCTTGCCATTGTTGGAAGATTGAACTCGGGCCCGGCCAGGCTTCTGGACAGAGCCTTTCAGAGCCAGAACAATATCCTCCAGCCAGCTTTGGTCGCTTCTCTTCGGAGAGCTCTGAAAGATCCGTGAGGGCCAGATGCTTGTCCGAAATTGGGGCAGGGCCTTCTAAAACATTCTAAAACCAAGGGATTTTGGGGTATCGATTTTTTGGCAAATACATTATATTGACTATTATTGAATCATGGTTGAGTCAATGAAAATATTACTTGAGGAGAGTGGGATATATAACACCGTGCCGGGTCAATAACCAATAAACCAATCTTCGGGTTCATGATGCATTAGGGGGAAACGAAAGGCATGATCCGTTACTGAGTGACTCTGAGTCGAGATGATTACAGCAATAACATCAGGTTTTTTGTGATGATGAGAAGAGAACCACCAAAAGATGATCAGCCCACTTTGAGAAATTGTGTCATTCCCCAAATCAACTAATATATTGTAATCATTACTCACACTTTCAAGAATCCCTTATTGGTGGTTTTAAATTTAACCACTTAGCACTGACATTTTTCGCCACCAACTCTTTGCCCATGGGATGATGATGATCATGAGCTACTGAACCCCTTTGGGAAACATGGTCTCTCCAAGGGAATTGATCTCTCCTTTTGAAAGCTATATGTTGATTATTTTTGATATGTGTTGTGTGTATGTCTTAGTATATACACAGTATCATGCTAGTACTACCTCAGGCCCCAAGTCATTTAAATTTGCTGGTATTCCTGTTTCTGCTGTTTTTGCTGTTGCTATGTGGTAGCCAGGATCCATGCCATGATTTCCCAGTCATATTTCTTCGAAGAGATATCATTTGTTTGTGGTGCATCCACCACTTTTTTTGCCACAATTGAGCCACAAAGGTCCAGGAGACTTGTTATCCATGGATGACAAGATATGCTTCACTTCCTATGATACTAGCATTTATACCATTGTTCCTGCGAGATGAATGAACTAGCGACTTTGATGTGAAAACCAACATCCCATGTGGCTTTAATCCATAGCCATTTAAGGATTCTTAGCTTTGGGAGTCATGTTCCCATCCAAAGTCTCCAAGAGTGTGAATTTCAACCTCACAAAGTGGGACATATCCAGCCCCAACCATGCTACCGGAGTTTTTTCGGCCCAGGATGCACCATGAGTTGAGGGCGGATGATGGTTGTACAGTTGTACAGCAGCCTTGGGACTCATGAGATACCGCCCGGGAAAAAGGTGGAGACCTTATTTAACAGCTGGGTCCATACTTGGGAAAATCGGAAATCTTTGAAAACATACATCGAACATGGAAAAAAACTCAAGATTTAGGATATTTAGGGGTTCAGAAGCGAACAATGGAGGTCGCAGTATGAGTGGATTGAACCTGTAAGAATGGACAATTTCACAGGCAACAAACATGCGGATTGAAGCAGCAGAAAATTGATGACCTATGTCCATGGGAGATTCCCACTGCCAAGAGATGGACATTGAGTAGATGATAACTTCACAGTACACATATATGATTTCAACCGTTAAGGCTTATATGAATGAATCAATTCCAGTAAATTTCACTCCAAGTTACTAGTTACAATACTGCTATTGTTTTTTGTTTTACCAGGGGATCAGCTAACCACTTAGACGAACAATGATCGGGATATATAATGGGTATTCCACCTGCAAAATGCGGCCGTGTCCATGAACAGATTCTTGGACAGTTTGCTTTCTTGCCTCTTGTTTGTGGGAGTGAGGAGAGTGGACTCAAAAACAATTCTACATTGACTTTCATATATATATATATAATTATATATATACACACATACTTTTCAATTTTGCAGCATAGACTAAGACTTGTTTTTTTGCATGGTATCCAAAATTAACCATGCTCTTAGCTTTTCATCTTTGACCTGGGCAGTATGGCGCAGTTTGCACAGCCTGCAGTCACGCTGATGCCACCTGCTGGCCATTGCTTGGAGCAGCAGAGAATGCGCGGAGAAAAGTGGGTGAATGACTGGAATCAAGGGATGTTTTAAGCAGAATAAAACACCTCGAGTGACTCGAGTCCCTTAAATAGACACAGACATCTCTGGTGAACGCGGTTTCGAATCTGTCAACGTTGCTCCCAATTTCCGAAAATGATGCCTGATGGACGAAAACAAAGGGATGCGTAGAATCTCTTTCAATCTACAATATTCTTACCATCTATTACAGTATCTTACAAATCAAATACAGTAAGTTTGAGCACTGGTGTTGTCCGGCTTCTATGGGTCGATGTTTCAATATCTTCCAATTTTTGTAGCGACTAAGTCATCGGGAATGGTCACATCTTCCCCTTTGGCAGCAACTATGATGTTGACCGGTGATTGACTGGTTCACTAGTTTGTCGATTGCACTTAACTACTAGGTTTCAGGGGTTGACCGCCAGCGAGTTTTTGGCTGTTAAGATAGGAAACAACATTGGTTTGATAAGCATCATTAAGCGTTCATGTTTTTGATGAACATCCGGTTCTTGATGACCCAGCTTTTTAGAATGGCCGTTGGCAACCATGCGGTCATGTTTACTACCAAACGATCCATGCTCCTGGGAAATGCTGGTTTTTCCACTTCCATCTGTTTACATCGAAGATGGTTGAATCCCCATTTCCCCGAAGGTTTGTTGGCGAAAGCCCCATTATTTGTGTCAGTTGATCTCGTTGATGGGTTGGTCCCGACATGGGCTCTACCATAGCTCTACCCTAAAAAATGCTATGATCATCGGTTCTTCACACGTTTCTATACATGGCTTTGTTTCAATCATGTGTATGAAACATGGGGGAAGATGTATTGAGCCAGGAAGCAGAGCCTGCAGGCCGATGGAAACGGCCAGAGGTGGGAGCATTATTGAGCATCATGGCCGTGGGGGAAAACATGGGAAAAACACCATGATTTTTAAGTTATGGACTTATGGATGTAACATGATGTAACCATAGATGAAGAATCTTGTGGGGATGATTTTGTTTTTTGGCATGGCCATTGATGTAGCCATTGATGTAGCCAAAGATAGACAAGAAAAACATGGGAGTCCAATCGGAAAAACAACTTTGGCATGTGGCCAAAGATTCAACACACATTTGGGAGTCAACCAAGCAACACACATCCAAAAAACACGATGAAACATTGGCACAGGCATAGAGGTACTCTCCAAGTTGTTTTCGATGAACCGCCGTTAACGATCATTAACCGTCATCATATGGTTGACAGGTTGACAATTGCGACAATTTCGTGCCAGATCATGGATCGCTTGCTGGAGATGGGCGAATGCCTGGATCGCACCATGCGCGACGCCACCGGGCGCCTGTTTCTTGGGCGCAGCTGGACGTTGGCTGTGGCGGGTGGAAATGGACCGTATTTGCAAATACGTTGTATATGTATGTTGGTTATCGTGTTTAGTGTTTATTGATTTAATTATTTGGAACATTTGTTATGTTTTTTCGTTTCCCTTCTCTTTCTCTCTCTCTCTCTATATATATATATTACATAGAAACAAATCAAGATCCTGCACCCTTAGTCAACAGCCTGAGGTTCACACTATCTGCTTCAGATCTCATGGAGGCCAGTTTGCTGCCGGCAAGGAAACATGGCAAGGGGGAAAAAAAACAAGTGATGGGAAATCTTCTATGACATAAATGGGATCTGGAATTGTCAGGTTAGGTGACATAAGTCATCCGTTATACGCCTGTTTATATCCACGGGTTGCATGGAGCGAACTAATAAATAGTTCAATTGGTGAGGTATCCCTTGGTAAACCAGAGATCGAAAAACACATCCTTCAATTGAGAAGACAATTAATGTCAATCAATCCTGGAAACGAGCTTCAATCAAATTGGCTCTTCCCTGTGTCTGATGTCTTCGTCCCTGGAAAGATGAGTTCCAAGCCTTGCAACTGATCCATAGCCAGGACGTTTGTAGCTTCGTCTTCCTGACCTTCGCTTGGCCCAAGATCTGCTATATGCAGGAGACTATGGAGGGCGACGGTCGACATAGGTGGTGGTTTGGCTGGTTGGGTTGTGAATCTCTCATTTTTGTTGCACCCAGACCATCCCAGACAATCCCAGACCATCCCAGACCGAAACTTGCGCTGTGTGGGAGCTTCATGACTTGGCTTCGCCTGACACATTTCGTATTCCTTCCAGTTTAGACTTATTTATAATTAAGACATATTTATTGCCCCGATTCGGAATCGCCCTGTTGGGGTATCCCAATCACATGATGCGGTCATCACCATTCTTGGCATAAAATGCGGGGTATTTAGAGCTTTTCACACCCAAAGAATCCCAAATCGAGAAAACCCATGATGTATTTTTTCAGATATTTGGGTAATTTCGTCATCTCATTTTCACAATATGTCCACCAATATTTCCACCAGAGATAGAGAAAATAGAGACTTTTTTGGATCCCCCATTGGTTCATTTTTTTTGCGAGGACATCCTGCAACAGGACGAGTTGAAGGAAAGGGTGCGCCAAAAATGCCTTGGATTCTACGGATTCTGAGGAACCGATTAGTTAGTTTGGAGGGAGTAATCTACATTGGGGACATGATATGTATAATGTATAATGTATAATGTATAATGTATAATGTATAATGTATAATGTATAATGTATAATGTATATATATATATATCTCTCACGGATTATTTATGACTTTGAAACTATAGCAATATATGAAAAGATGCAAATCCTTTCAGATTTCCCCCAATAAACCGCCCTTGAACAGCCTGCCGAAGCCATGGTTGACTCCAATCTCCAATGGATCTCCGCAGCCATGTTTGATTACCAGATGGACACATCGCAAAAAGTGGGATTTGAAAACCCCTAGAATCTATCTACTTCAGGAATATACGTGTATATTATATATGGTAATCGATCTAAAGGTCCTTGTAAAGAGTTTTAATTGCGAAGACTGTTCATGTTATTCTGGGAATGCTTTTTGGTGAATGTTCATTTCCATATGGATTTAGTCACCATTTGGAGAATGTACCGACAATTTCTGGAACCTCGTCCCCCTCCAAGAAAAAGAACAGGTTTTTGGATGGAATTATATAGTTTTCTGTTTACCTCCCAAATGGTACAATTGGGTATGGCTAAACGAGTAGCAGTACTTTCACATTTGTCTTTGGCTTGGTGAGATTAAAAGTCCTGTCGTTTTGCATCTTGAGATATTTGTAAACCTGCTTGGTGACTTTCTTGGGACTGAATTTTTGGGGTGTATCATGGCTGGCTGGTTCTACCCCAATATTAATATTATCCAATATTCAATCAAGGAACCATACACAACTTTGGGAATTTACTTATAGACCTACATCTTGGTCGTTTCAGAATCATAAAAGCATCCAATGTCGTTTCGAGACACCCATATGTTCGAGCAGCTTGCAGGATGGTGCTCGACCCTACTTGAATTCATGACTCGCACCATCGTTGCATCATGACTTGGCCGATTTTTATTGCCAGGTACTGAAAGACAAGGAGAAGAACGACATTTCCGAATGGTCCCATGTTCTACGAAGGATCCGGTGTTAATGGGCGAGGGCTTGGGTTCAGGAGCATCACCCATGGAAAAACTCCGCAGGCTTCATGTTGTGTTGGAATTGGAAAGCACATGTGAGATGTATAAATATTTATCTCTATGATATATAGAGATGATTAGAGATATAAGATATATTTATATAAGATTATATAAGTATAATACACGTGTATATATATATACACGTGTATATGTATATATATATATATATGTTTTTGGGAATCCCCTATAAACGGAGGTTTTCAGCTGGGAACATCATCCATCATTCGTGAATTTCGCCGATTGGATGCCACCTTTCGGTTACTGTAGTATTACTGTAGCAGTTGCTACCTCAAGTGACCATGTCCAGATTGCAACTGAAAAAGCCTATGCAAAATCAAGAAGTCATGACAAGGACCAGGCTGTCACCGTCAACCGGAATGAACATGAGAAAAAAGAAGCAGCAACCAACAAGCGACGGACAACAAAACAAAACAACAACATTGACATTTTGCTGTTCACATGACTCCTAAACCGGCAATGAGTTTCTGGTCAGTTGTTTCAGGGACAGTCTTATTTCCATCCACTAGAATTATTTTCCCGCAGACTCATGTCTATGTCCATCATATTATATAGTTTATCATAATTTATCATGGTTTATCATAGTTTACCATAGTTTATCATAGTTTATCATAGTTTATCATGGTTTTATAATATGTGCATCATGTTTTTCCAATTTTCATTATATTCCCATATGGAGGTTTCCTAAGTCATGGGGGTCCCTCAAATCATCCAAGTCATGGATGACCATTTTAAGATTGACTCCCATGGTGACTTGGGGATCCCCAATTTTAAGAATCTACCATCATATATATATATATATATATGTATTATAGAATAGATACATGTTATACCCACAGTATATAATATACTGTATGCTTAAATCCCCATGGTAAAATCCCATTGTCCCATGGTATCCCGTGGACTGATCCCCGCGGACTCGGCGTCGCAGGATTCTGCCAATGCTTTTGCGAACCTTGGAGAAGGCAACTTGGGAGATGCGGCGGCTGGCCACTCGGGAGTTTAAGATGGAAAATTGAGACAACTTGGGCATATGTATATATATATACACAATGGACTGTGTATATATATATGTATATATATATATATATGTATATATATTATATATATTATATACATACATACATGTATATACATATATATATATATAGTTGGGAATATAGTATGGGCTCTCAGTCAAGTTTCTGGGCTGCCTTTCAGCATCAGGCCATGGCTACTGTCAGACAACGGTCCATGGAGTGAACTACCCGAAAATAGCTGGGGGTTATGGACGTTCATTTCACCAGATATTGCCCACGTGAGCTGCGGTCAAAGATGTCAAAGCCCCAAAGGGGTCATCTGTGGCAGACTCATAGACTTGTAATGGCTTGGTGAATAGGCATTGTCACCCTTGCAATCTGTGATGAATACATGATATACATGCACACACACACATATATATATATATATACCCATATATGTATATTCACATGTAATATCATGTAATTCAACATAGTCCAAGAAAATCTGGCATGGAAATTTGGAATAAATACACTACAAGGCTTGAACCTGGAGATTTTTTTCTCGGGGTTTTGATGAACCATTGGATTGTTTGGTCCCATGTTTGGTGGAAAACATATTTTAAATCCATTTGGTCCATAGGTTCAGGGATCAAACATCTTGTTTCTACAGGTAAATGATGAAAAACCAGGGGGCAACTTGTGATTTTTCTTCTTTCTCTACTTTCTTTAGCCAATTTGCCACCCTAGTTCCGGATTCTTGTTGAAAAAAATCCACTTCTCATGTGGATATATCCCAAGAAAAATCCCATTAAAAATCCCAACATCCACCAAATCTAGAGAGACACCTGACACCTCCATCCAGTTCTGGGATTTCCCAGACAGCTACACCTCATTACATCCCCATGAAGATTCCATTCATAGTTCATCATGATTCGATTCCCATGATATTCCCGTTTTTGAGAAAGAAACATGTGAAAAAAAACTCCATTGTTTGTGGATTTCCCATGAAAAAAACAGATGTTTTCCCGGAAAAAACAAATTTCCTGCTCCGTTCTCCAGGTGGCCACAGTGGATGCTCTGACCTTGTGCAGTGCAGGCGATGCCTTGGCGCAACTCTTCCTGCAGGAGCCGCTTCGAAAGTATCCCGATGCCGCCAAGCAGCTTCGAAAGGGAATGATTTTTCGGAAATCCATAGGGAAGTGACCATATTTGGAAGCTAGAGAATTTGGATCCATTGAGAAATTATATTATGGGATTTTCCATAGGGAATGATATAGGGAATTCTACAGGAAAGTAGCCATTATTTGGATCCAGAATGATTTTCGCGGGGAACCAGAATTTTTACTGGCATATGATATAATTGTGAACGTTATTTGTTGGCCATTTTGAGTCTTGAGGGGGAATATTCGATAAATTTGATATGCTGTTAAACAAACACACATAAGACGGCTATGTCTGGAGCTGGGTATCAATTATGTCCGCCATGTTTCTGGGTGGAAAAACAGGTGTATCATGTCGAAAACATGGTGAATCTTCCACCAAGTGTGCACTTGCTAAACAAACATGCCTGGTTGGGTTGAAATCTGGAAACACTGGCTTTCCATTCTGAAATTTGGAGCTTTCCTATGGGGGCACCTCCAAATATTCCAAGACCAATTTACGTAAAATCAATGGTGACTTGGGGATCCGGAAAGCTCCGGTTTGGATTCGCACATCGAGTTTTGAGTTGGGCTGTTCAACCGCCTGAAAAATTACACTGCGAAGCCTGCCTTAGGAGAAGGACAGCAAGAGCGCGCAGAGCGAATTGGGCCCGGTTTCACAGTGCGCAAATTGCCGCAATCGCTGTGGTAACGCTTGATTGTTCAACGTAGTGTATTCTTGTTTTGATTTTCAGTTTCTTGGATAATCATCGCAATTTACCAATATAACTTTAGTATAACAATATGTCTGTAATGATGCATTCCTATTTTTTCAACCGGATGATGATCCCAGATGATCAACGTTGATCGATTAAAACCAGATGTGTTTGGTCAAGCTTCATTAAAAACAGATGTGGGACTGCTGAAAAGTTTTTCAGGGACATTTCTGTCGACACCCCTTTCCCATTCAACAGAACAACTGTTTATTTCCATCATATTGTTGAATAAACCATATTAAAGGATGGTTTATTTCCATCATATTGTTGAATAAACCATATTAAAGGATGGAATATGATGGAATATGAACAGTAGTTGAATCTGGATTCCATCATATTTCCCATCATATTCCATCAAAATGCATTTGGAACTTGGAACATCTTGGAACTGGGAGAAAGTCGAATACTTGTTTGACATTTGTTGAACGCCCATGTCGTTTTGTACTTTGGTTCAATATTAAACAAAAAACTTCAAACAACTATAATAGATAGTAAATTTAATGATAGTAAATTATAGTAAATGATAGTAAATGATAGTAAATGAGAGTAAATGAGAGTAAATTATAGTAAACGATAGTATATAAACGATAGTAAATGATAATAAATGCTAGTAAATGATAGTAAATGATAGCACTGGTAAATCTCAGGGTTAACATGTCTACACTCAGATGTTCCCGTCAATCTCTACCTAGTTGATCCCAATTGAACATGGTGATTTCCCGTAGCTGTGTTACAAGGGTATGTTAGTTTACCAGAAGGTACACAAGCTTTATCCAACCGGGTCTTGCAAGTGTCTGCCTTGAAATGATCACCCTAAATAGATGGTTAGCAATTACTCCAAGTCTTTCAACTGTAATCTTCCATATAAACAGTTGTTTCACAAGTATAACAGTCTTTATTCACCAGACTGAAACCACTATAGTCACTATATGTCACTGTCATCCACAGATCCGCCAATTTGATGGAACTGACCCATCAGGCCATGCCATTCAGCGCCTGGAACGTGAGTTGCAGAGCTCCTCTGGACCCCAAGCAAGGTGCCGGCCTTGGAAAAGGACCGTTGCTACGGTCTATGGAAGCATATGGAACTATTATCATGATGATTATATTAAGTTACTATAGACTATTAAATGTTGTTTTTATTTCATAGATTTTAAACAATAATATATATATCGTAGTTATTGTTTTATGGAACAATTATTGTTATTAATAGACATTACCCTCCAGTAAATTAACAGTTGGAAAGTGAAAATAGACAATTTTAGTGGAAACTATTCTTCCAACCCCCTATTTGACAGGGTCTATGTTGGAGTCTATGTTAGTTTACTGCAGGGTAAAAGCTAGTGTTATTAGCAACAATAGATATAATAGCAGGTGTTATGATAATCCTATTGAAAATTGGATTTGCTAATGAAAATTGGCTGATTTTTCCAATGGGAGATCCACCTGGAGAATCTGTATATCATGGCAATGGCAACGGAAAACCCATTGGTTTGATCGGAACATGGCTTGGATCAGGCCTGAAGGCTTCCAACTGATACCCCACTCAAGGGGTGCTCAAGCGAAAAACCCTGTGGTTCCAAGAGGGAACCCAATGTTTGAGATTCTTTGAGCAATGTCTACATTTACATTTAGCATTCGGTATATGTGGCATTGGGCATTACGCTGCGTTCCGTACCCCAAGGATGTGGATTGGTCCATTGCACGAATTGCAAATATATGGTTCTTTCCATTTGTATCCATTTATACAACAGACTTTGTCATGATTTGTCGTAATTGACATTATGCAACTAGTTGAATAGCAAATCACACGCTAGATATTTAGAGATAACCCTTCAAAAGTGGTGGAATTTCTTCCAGCAGAGCATTCTGGCGATGCATGCCTCGGTAGCAGAAAAACATCAACAGGAGTTTCATGCCTTGAACGCAGATTCTAGGTAAACCACTTGATGCATGCTTGCTTTTCATGGCTAAAGGCCTAAAGGCGTAGCGATAGAGGAATGTGCTTTGTATTTTACGAACACTTTCCAGTTTTGAAGGGGCTCTATATATACTGTATATATATATATTATAAGATATAAGATCATATAAGATTATATAAGCTTGAAAGATAGTGGAGTCGTGGAGTGTTTGTTGCTCCTTGGAGCTATCAGTGGCACAGGGAGAACGGTTGGAGACCCAACGTATAGGCCTGACATGAGAGAACAACGATTCGTAAAAATATAAATGCAGATACACAATTCCACACATAGAATGCCGTGTATAATCCATAATATTCCACATACATATATATATATACATACATGAGTAACCGACAAATTTAATGTAATACTAATTTAATCTTGCTTCGCCATTGCCTTTCCGAGGTTGCACAAACCCTTCATAAGCGATAGGGGACGGCCCTATACCGATATCCCATTTGTGATACCTCCAGGAATACTCAAATCTTCACAACCGATAGGGGACGACCCTAATTTGTGCATGGCATTAAATTTGACATATAATTTTGTCCGCTATTCATGTATGTATATATATATGTATAATATTAATATATAAATATAGTTATAATTTATATATATATACATTATTATATTATATATATACATACATATATACACATTACTATATGTATATATATATATATATCGTACATTGTGCTTGAGATGGCCTGTTCCTGCGGCGTGAGGCTGGACCCGCAAATCGCCGGTGCCTTGCTGGGGGTCCCAGCTGGGATTAGGGGTCCCAGCCATCCCAAAATGACCAAACTGACGATTATATGTATAAATGGAGGTTTTATACTTGGATAAATGATGATAGATGATGATAGATGTATATTAATGCCATATATATATATATATCTGATTGGTGGTTTCAAACCTTTTTTTTTGTCCATAATATATGGCCATTTACAAATATTTTTCAGAGGGGTTGAAACCACCAACCAGATTATCTACTCAGTATGTTCAGATTGATACATGTGACATGGTTGCATACATAATTTTGATTTTAATAGACTGACATGCATGTATTGATGATGCTACTTGGTTTCTGCATGAATTGTTGCAGTATATGTCTACAGTAATTCGATAAAGCAATAGGGTGTGTGTACGTAAACCTTGGTGCATGGTGTCTACGGTTGGTCATGACGCGTCTCGTTTTTCTGGCGAGATGTTGATCAGTATTTTATGGATCCAACAAGAAGAAGGCACCAATGAAAGTTATCCGAGAACTTTCTTGGTCCATTATATATAGTTATATATATAGTTATACATATGTATATATATATATATGTTTATATATAGTTATACATATTTGTATATATATATGTTCTTTTTTTTGATTGCTGGTAATTTGTCGCGGCTGTTTTCGGGTCCAAGTATGTTGAACCTTCCTCATTGCACACAGCTTCTGGGATGTACACAAAAGATATTCCAGTTCCAGCAATGAACTCCCAACAGTTGGCTCTTCACCAGCAATTAGGTCTCCAAGTTTTCCGAGAAAAAAACATGTTGTTATTACTGATGTTGATTCCCAAACTTTGTTGATGGAGTACTCATTACTCATCAATGTCAGAAATCCTGAGGTTGGCAAAGTGTTTAGTTTTGGAGTGTTGTCGCGGCAAGAAAAAAACACCATTTGTTATCATGTGTTCATATTAGTTCCATCGACTACCTCAGGTTGTTTGGATACCCTACACGCCTCCTGCTCTGTTTTTTTTGTGTCGAAAAAGTCGGCATCAACCTGGTCGTGGTTTCATCGTCGGTTGGGGTTTGAAATCCTGCGCCAATCCAGCAAATCCTGAGTCCCAATGTATAAGTTGTTATTAAAGTTGACGTTCACATTATCAATTTGTTTGTTTCAGGATGTTGGAAAACCGGAACCGGAAAACCAGTTCTTTTTATGTGTTGTTCCCATATCACATGGAAATTATGGATCTTCCTGTATATTTTCCCCTTTTCCCTCAAACAAAAAACCACGCGGATTTTTTCATGGACATGATATTCAATGATGAAATGATGAGATGTACATAGATGTACTTCATTGTACATAGATGTACTTCATAAATCTTCATAACTTCATAGTTCCAGGTGTCTCACCTTTTTTGGATCTTTTTGGTGCTAAAGAACCAACGGTACTACGGCGCCGAACCAACGGCCCAGGTCCTTCGATCCGCCGTCCCTGCGGCCTCCCGGCTTCGCTCTCTTTGCCGCCGAAGGCGTTTTTTTTTTCGCTTGGATGCGGCTAGGGAAATACCATACTAAAACATATGGAATGCCATGGTATTTAAAATGGTATTATATATAATTATATATATATATACGTCGTATATTATATGTATATATATATATCACTGTATAAATACATAGCTGTATACATGGGATATACTGTATTACGTATGTATATTTATTACATATATGTTTGTATTTATGTGTACTGTATATATGCCAAGGAAAGATTTGTAGAGATAAGATGACTTTGCGTGTCAAAACTGGATGTTGGTCCCAATTAACCAGCGTATGGTCTGGGAAAACCCTGCAGCATTGAGGCACTTGTCTGGCGTAAATGAAGACATATCAATCACTATGTCATATCATATCCAGCTATATAACTAGAAAAATCTGAGCGAACATAAACATTCATGAACAGATATATATGTTAATTATAGAAATACAACATGTCCACTATAGACATTTTTGTTCAATTTCTGTCATGTTTTGTCGTCCTTTCGTCAGGCGTGCAGGTTGAGGATGAGCCGGCTTCTTAGTAGTTGGATCATGGCCCTGGTATGGGGATGGTTCACCCATAGGAATCCATTGAGTCTGAACCGTCCGTGGGGATCCGTGGATGTTTTATCATGTTCATCCCCCGATGTGGATTTGTGTTTTCCCATGGTT